CTTCTTGTCTATTATTCATTTAATACAATTTATGACAGAAGTTAACATTCAGATGATAAAATTAATCTTGCATTATTGAAATAAATTTCACTTAGTTATGGTTTATTATATTTTTTATATGTTGCTGGCTTTGGTTTCCTAATATTTTGTTGAGTACTATTACACCTGTGTTCATGAAGTTTATCATTTTTATTTTTCCTAGCCCTGTCTGTGTTTGGTTTTTGGTATTAGGGTTATACTGGTCTCATAAAATGAGTTGGGAAGTGTTCCCTTCTCTGTTTTCTGGAAAAGTCTGTGAAAATCTGTTACTTTTTCTTTATATATGACATTGAATTCATCATTGAAGCTTTTGTTTGTGGACAGAATTTTAATTATTAATTCAATGTCTTTACTTATTATAGGTCTATTCAGGGCCAACACTTCTACTTGACTCCAGTGTGGTACATTGTGCACTTCTCATGCGTGGTCCATTTCATCAACATTGTCTCATTTGTTGGCTGAAAGCCGTTCACAGTGTGTCTTAACAGTTCTTTTCATTTCTGTCAAATCGATAGTGATGAGACCTCTTTCATTCCAGATCTTGGTAATTTCTACCTTTCTTTTTAATCTGTTTAAAGGTTTTTAAAATACGTAGATCTATTCCCAAAGTTAACTTTGGTTTCATTGGTTTTAAACTCAATCGTATTTTTTGTTGTTGTTGCTATTTTCTATTTAATTGATCCTGTTCTAATACTTACAATATTCTTCCTTTTGTTTGGATTTAATTTATTCTTTTTCTAACTTCTTAAGATAGACTCTTATGTTATCAGTTTGAAATCGTTTTTCGTTCTAATATGTCTTAAGATTAATAATTTCCTTCCAAATGTTGGTTAGCTGCAGCATAAATTTTGGAATGCTATGTTTTCATTTTCTTTCACTTAAACATATCTTTAAATTCCTTCTGTGATTCCTTCTTTCACTCATGAGTTATTTCTCTGTGTGTTGTATGCAGTTTTCTAAGTACTTGGAAATTTCCCAGATTTCATTCTTTGTTGTTTCGAATTCAATTCTGTTGTGGTCAGAGCATATGCTTTGCATGATTTCAAATCTCTCAAATTTACTGAGACTTTTTATGATCTGACATATAGTCTATCTTCGAGAATGCTCCACTTGCACTTGAAAAGAACATGTATACTGCTCTTGTTAGGTGGAGTTTTTATAGATGTTTAGTTCAAGTTTGCTGATAGTGTTCAGTTTTCTATATTTTTTTGCTGACTGTCTGTTTTTTCTATGCATTACTGAGGTATGGGATGTTGACCTCTCCAACTACTATTGTTGGAATAGTGAATTCTCCTTTGTGTTCTATCAGCTTCTGCTTCATGTATTTGGGTGCTTTATGGTTATGTGCATACAGGTTAACATATTACAGTCTATTTATACTCTATCAGGATGAAATATCCCCTTTTGACTCATGGAATTTTTTGTTGTTATTTTAAGTTCTACTTTATCAAATGTTTGCATGGCCACTGTAGCACGCTTATCATTGTCTACATATTACATCTTTTTTTATCCTTTTACTTTTTTTTAAAGACTTATTTATTTGTGCATACAGAACTGGGGTACAGGCCAGAGGTGCAAGGGTGGTGAGCGGATTCACCAGAGACAGAGTGGGGAGCAGAACAGGCAGATCGATGAAGTACACTGCTGAGGGGAGTAGCAGGTGCATCAGGAGAGGTCTGCCGCGCCATGTGGATCATCTCCGGGGCAGGCGGGGATTGAACTCATGTGCAAATAGCTTTAGCTTCTTAGTGCTGTGCTTTAACCCGCTGTGCCACCAGGGAGGGCCTTATCCTTTTACTTTTAACTTATGTGTGTCTTTCAAAATAAAGTATATTTCTTGTAGACACCATATAGCTGAATCTTGTTTTCTAGCTTAACAATCGCTGTTTTTTTATTGAAATGCTTAACCTCTTCACCCTTAGTGTAATTATTTCTATGGCAATTTACATCTCCCATTCTTTTCTTTGTTTTCTATATGTCTCACATTTTTTGCTTTACTTTTCCTTCTTTACTTATTTCTTTGTTGAATTGTTTTATTGTATTTTAAAGGTTATGTTCTTAGTTGTTGCCCAAAGGATCACAATATCATATTAACTTGTCACTACCAACATCATTTTAATCCTAACTTACCTCTAGTAAAATATAGAAAATTTGCACTAATATAGCCCCATTTCCTCTACTTCTTTCTCCCTCTTCGCATTATTATTTTCACATACATATTTAGGTTATAAGCTTAATATCAGGTCTTATAATTATTATTTCATACAATATTACATCTTTTCAATCTGTCAAGAAGAGAAAAGATTTTAAAATATACAGAATTCTCTTTTCACTATTTCTAAAGTTTTTTATTCCTTTAGGTAAATTAGAATTAGCATTTTGTGTCATTTCTTGTCAGCCTGAAGGACCTCATTATTTCTAGAAAAACACATTTGTCTGTAAAAAAATAAGATTATTTTGACTTTACAAAATACTGAATAATGCAACTTAGAGGCAAGTACAAGGCTAAAATGGGAAGGGCACAAAAATGCTATTGGATCCCATTAACTGCTGGCACATTTATACTTCTACCTGATAGCTACATATATTCCAAAAAAATGAACTGTGAGGCAACCAACAAGTCCTTGGATTACGAGCCCATTATCCCTCCAAACTATGTGAGACTAGGTTGGAAATTCTTTTTTGTGTCTGCATTCTGGAAGACTGTTCTTACCTGTGTCCTATATTTCCATGTGTAATAGTTTTTGTCTTTCTATCTTCCTATTGGAGTCCTCTCTATTTTATTAATATGTTTAATCTCTTTAGCATTTGATTTTATTTACCTATTTCATTTATTTTGACCTGTGCTGACTCGGCATTTGATTTTATTTACCTGTTCATTTATTTTGACCTTCATATGTACTCAGATCTGTTCTGTGGACAGTTGCTAATTCAGCAGGGTGGGGAGGGAATCAGAAGGATCCAGACGTTGGCATGGCTATGCTGGATTGGGACTGGCACATGTTTATGTTATCTCCAATAGCCCTCCTCTCTGGGCTTTGGGATGAGAAACTCAGTACTCCCTGCACTTTCACTATACCTCACAGAGGAGGTAACAGCCTCTGAAAGTGAGAAGGGGAGTACAGATCAGAATGCCTGTGTCTGTGGAGCACCCCAGGTTCTCCACAAGGTGTTCCCCTTTTTAAGGGGTATGCCTCCACAGAACCTCTGCTTCCCTCTCGCCTGTGCTTCCAGTCGAGCTGTGGGAACCACCCTGTCACCAGTTCCCCTACTCCCACGTTTCTCTCTCCACCTACCTCCTGTTCAATATAGCATGAGTCTCCTCAATGTCCCTTTCCTGAAATCTGCACTGGTCTGATAATCAACCCTATTCCTATCTAAAACATTATCTGTCCCACACTGGGCCCTCTGGCCTGCTGTCCCAAGAGCCACAGTCTGTGGGGCCCTGAAGTTGCCTGTCACATCTGCTCCACTTGGCAAGGCTTACTCCACTGCTTGCCAGGACCTAGAAGAAGTGGGTTGCTTCCATGAGCCTTCCCGGGCTCACTGTGGCCACAGGGGCCTACTGCAGTGGGTCTATTTCCCAATTCCGTCCAAGGGCTTGCAAAGGTCTGCCAGGGCCTTACCTTGCTTGCAGGTTCTCCTGGAGCTTGCTGAGTTCAACTCACAGAGATGATGCCAGGCCCTTCCTGGAGCTCGCTGAGGCTGCAGTTAAACACAAATTTTTTCTTTATACACGAGTCTTTTATTTTAAGTGAAACACTTTGTTTTACATCCTTGTTAATATTTTGACAGTTAGTATTTCTCCCCTCAGGTGAAGTCACTGTAGCTCTCCCACTACCATAGCACCATAGTCATTGAATACACAATATTTTTAAAACCGCAAAAATAAAAGAAGGAAAGCAGCATTAGATTAGAAAAATCTAAATAGTGGTTTGAGCGAGAGACAAAGACAGAGCCAGAGCCAGACCGTGGACAGCAGATGCATCCCATGGAGAGCCAAAAATGGCAGTGAACGTGTGCTCAAGGTCAGTCACCAGCTACAGCTGAAGGTGACATGACATCCTGGCCTGGGTCAATGAGTACCTTCAATTGAATCTGACGAAGATCAAACAGTTGTGCTCAGAAACTGCCTGCTGTTCCCCACCATCCCAAGAAAGTAAACGTCCAAGCACAACTAGAACACGAATGTATCCAGAACTTCAACCAGGTTTTAAGAGGGTGAATGCAGACAAAATAATTCTGATGAAAATTAGTAAAGGTAAAGCTTCAGGACAATTTTGAATGTATCCAGTAGTTCAAGAAAATTTTTATGTAAACCATTATGAAAAAGACTATGACCATAGAGCTGCCCGGCAAGGCGAGGAAACGGCAGTGGCATCTTTCCTGGTTGCTCCAGCTGCAAACAAACTGAGGAAACCACTCAGCTCTGGCAATGCAGCTCCACAGAGGCCCCTTGCAACACTCAGAAGCACTGCAGCCTCTGAGGTCCGCCTGGGTGTGGTGAGAAGGAATCCTGGTATGGGCAACTAGGACGGAGAAGTAGCTGAACTCATGCAGCAGGTCAGTGGATAGAAACTTATTTTCAAAAATTTGGAGAGATCTCTACTTTAGTAAGCTAAAGAACACTGAATCGATTTGCCAAGAGGACAAGAGATAAACAATGGTGTGGAGCATTGTGGATATTCTTGAAGCCACGGGTGAAGGCTTTGTGATAGCAGATGAAGGGGGCCACAGGAGGAAGAAGAGTGTTAACAGTCAGCATCAGCAGAGCAGCATCAGAATTCGTCACTCTCAATCATGTTATGTGATTGTAAAGTACTCCCTTTTATTGTTCTTAGAGGACTCACTGGTGTTTCTTCATAAATTGCACTTGGCAGAAATTTCAATCCTTTTCCAAAAAGTTTGAGTTAGGAGCTTTGACCTTGTAGCACAGCAGTATTAACATCTAGTTGGTTCATTTAGGGAGTAAAGAGGCTGACGGTGGAGCTCTGGCTCTGGTAACAGTGAGTGCAAACTGTTTTTATGTACTAGACTGAGGTGAAGACCTTAGTAGAGAAATGTAAAATGTAAAAACTGAACTGAATTTTGAACTAATGCAAAATCTTGGCAGAAAATACTGTAATAAATAAATGCCTTAAGGGCATTTAAAATATGGTTCTATATTTCAAACTATGAAAAGTTACTTGGGCCCTCCCTGGTAGTACAATGGCTTAAAGTGCAACATTGCGAAGCTGGCTGCAGCCCCTTCAGTGTGTGTTTGATTATCAGCCAGGGAGGTGACCCACAGTGCACAACAGACCTCTCCTGTCTCACCTGCTGCTCCCCTCAGCATTGTACTTTGTGAATCTGCCATTTCTGCTCCCCACTCTGTCTTTGACAAATTCTCACGCTTCCTCTGCACCTCTGGCCTGTACCCCATTTCTGCATGCATACATAAATAAATCTTGGGAGGGAAACTACCATGACAGGTAATTTTCGGTGTTGACATTGTGTCTGGGGAAGAAGGGACGTTGGAACCTGCTGTTCACAGGCCTGACAGGGCTGTTTGACCTGCTTAAACATGAGTGCAAAAGAAAAGTTTGAAAGGTTGCTCTGTAAAACAACTTGACTAAAAGCATTCCTGCTAATGAGCAAGACTTAATGTTGCCTGAATGGATAGAGGGTGTATTTCAGCTCTGAGTCAGTTTGAGTTGGAGAGCCTGATTTTCATTGAGCATTTTTCTGATGATTTTTCCAATTATTCCTGAAATTTGATGTACTATATTTCTTGAAAAATGAGGCTTATTCAGCTTTTAAGTCTAACAGATTACTTTTGGGAATTTGATATCTCTGGGATTTGAGGGAGGTGTTGGCATTTCATTTTATTGCCTTTTTTAAAAAAGATTTATTTATTTGTGCATACAGAACTGGGGTACAGGCCAGAGGTGCAGGGGTGGTGAAAGGATTCACTAGAGACAGAGTGGGGTGCAGAACAGGCAGATCCACAAAGTACACTGCTGAGGGGAGCAGCAGACTGGTCAGGAGAGGTCTGCCGCGCCATGTGGATCACCTTGGGGGCGGGTGGGGATCGAACTCATGCGGAAGTGGCTTTAGCTTCTTAGTGCTGTGCTTTAACCCACTGCGCCAACAGGGAGGGCCCCACATTTTATTACCATTTGAGTTAACATTTAACATGTTTCTCTTCTCTGTTCCCCTTACCCACTGGGGACTTCCCTTTGGCTCTTTCAAATTTGCTTAGAGAGGAAGTTCAGTAGGCAGGTAAAGATGTTGCAAGCTTTTTGTGGGCCCCTGAGAAGGCTAGTGAAAGTATCACTGTCCTGAAGTTGCAAGGCTGGGTATTCTCAGTACCACTGCTCACAGCCCCGCAGTGCTTTGCCTGGACGTCCATCTCTTTGGAGATAGTTTGTTAGCATGTTGCTAACTGTTCATTTTCTTGTTCAGAAAAAACAGCACCATGTCTGAGATCATTATTAATAGTTAAAATGTCTCATTCCTTAACTCTCCCTCATCTGCATTGCCCACAACCTACTCCATTAGGCTGAGTTCTGCAACACGTGAGTCACCTACTGAGACTGTCCAGTCCCTGATGTGTTTGTATTGATTTGTTTCTGGTGGTAGCTTGCCCTAAAATGTGTGCAGAAAGCAGATATTTTATGGTAAGATGAAGTGGAGTTCAGAGGAAAACCCAGATTCAGTGCTGAACAATGAGCACCCCCCCCACCATGCCAAAAAATGCAAATTAACTAGCTATTGTACAAAACGTGGAGCTACTTTTTTTTTCTCCCCCTCCCCGGAGCTACTTCTTTTTTGTGGCCTTTTTGACTTTTAGAATTTTTGTGCCCTAAAATTCCATTTTATTAGGACCCATTTTCTACCTGGTCTTTCTTGACAGGGTTTGTTCCTACTTTAAGCATTTTCTAAATAGACTTCTGTATTAAAAGAAAAAAAGTGTAAATGATTAAGTGAAGGGAAACTCACTGAAGTGAGCAACATCTTTTTCTAATAAATCAAGGCACCACTAAAAAAGTGACTAAAGACTACAAAACTAACAAGGTGGTAGTATAGACATGGAACAGTAAAAGTTATTTAGTTAATCCAAAAGAAAGGAGACAGAATATTGGGACAAAATAAGTAACAAACAGTAAGACAGTATACTGAAACATAAATATATCAATAACTACAATAAATTCAAATTACCAGAATTTTTTTAAAAGACAATATACAGGGCCCTCCCTGGTGGCGCAGTGGGTTAAAGCACAGCACTAAGAAGCTAAAGCCACTTCCGCAAGAGTTCGATCCCCG